ATAGCCGAAAATGGTATAGATATTTCAGTCGTGAAATTGACACCAGAACAGAAGGCAGAAGCGCTAGCGAGTAAAAAGAAGGGAGCTAAATACGCCATGAAAAATTGTAAAGTGATAACAGTAATTACTGAAGAAGAACAAGAAGAAGAAAAATAATAATTTTGTAAAAATTATTTTTATTTTTCTTACCTATTTATATGAGTGAGAAACAGAAAATTATTAATGATATCTATTTTGATAGAAGTGGATTCGGTTCTAAAGCTACCACGTTGAAAGATGCAAGAACCAAAGATAAAACAATTACAATGGCTGACGTTGAGGAGTTTTTTAAGAGGAACGTAGAAGAAAAAAGAAAACCAAGAGGTCAAAATAGCTTCGTAGCACCGCATGCGTTTTTTGAGTTTCAAATTGATTTGTTCTTCATATCTAGCAACGATTTAGAAAATCAAAAGTTTAGAATAGGCTTAGTGCTTATTGACATATTTACAAAATACGCAACCGTTATACCAATAAAAAGCAAGCAACCACCAGACGTTTTGGCGGGTCTCATGGAAGGAATAAACAAGATGAGTAAGAAACCACGCATGTTATATTCGGACGAAGAGGGTAGCCTGTACAGTAAAACTATATCGGAGTATTTGGAAGACGAGAAAATTGAAATTCACAGAACTCGTGGACATCCAGCCTTTGCAGAACGCTTCATTAAAACCTACAAAGATAAGCTATTCAAGCGCGTTGAAGCAGATAAGAAGAAAGGAAAGGAAAATATTCAATGGATTGATTATAACTTTGAAATATTATTGACATATAATCGTAAAGATATACATTCATCACACAATCTGACACCTCAAGAAGCACGGTTGCCCAAAAATGAACTGAAGGTAAGACTGAGTTTAAGCATGAACGCGAAGCGTAGCAGAATATACCCTGAGATAGATGAAGGTGACAACGTCAAGATAATGAGAAAGAAGGGTGTAGGTGAAAAAGAACATACATCACACTGGAATAAAACAATCCATAAAGTCACGAAGATTGAAAAGAAATTAGGACAAAAATATTATCATTTGGACGATGATAAAAAGCCTTACTTACGACATGAGTTGTTAAAGGTGTAACTCCTAAAGGCCCTAAATTTTACTACACTGATGTTTGCATTTTTGTTTTTACTTGTTTTTTGGTTCTTGTTTGTTTTATGTTCTAAAAGCTTAGGGTTTTATACGGATTTAGGGGGCAAAACCCTAAAATTCCTTCAAACCCCAATCCCAAACCCAATCCTAAACCCTAAAAGTGCCAAGCACCTTCTGAGGCTCATCACAATGCTTTGACTGTTAAACAGTCGGATTCCCCCCTGTTGCACTCCGTGCCAACCCTATATCCTAAACCCCTAAACCCCATATCCTAAACCCCCTAAGCGCCCTAAACCCCCTCAACCCTAAACCCCCTAAACCCTAAACTTTATTATAGACACAAAAAAAGGTTTAGGGTTTCGGGTGTAGGGTTTAGGGTGGGAGGGTTTCGGGTTTCGGGTGTAGTATGAAAAACTTGACAACGTAGTTGAAGCTGTTGAAGACAAAGACTGGTGTAAGGAATTGAGAGGGAAGTAAAGAGCAGGAAAACACGAACCTACCAAAGCTCCAAGTAAACCCCAAAGGTGCCAACACTTGCCGAGGCTGCTGCAATGACTGCTTGAACCAGTCAGGGCGCCACTTAAATCTCAGAGTGCACTACATGGCCCTGTATGGACATGTCAGAGGAACTAGGTTCAAGTATTGATTTTCCTGAGGCTACATACATCATCACCTAATTAAGCCCAGGCAGGGACACCATGCGTCAGTCGGGAATGATTTGTTCCGGCGGCGCATCTCGATCAGCATCGCCCGTCTGTGAGAAAGCGATCGTCTGCGCTTCACTCCACGCTTCGGTGTGAAACTTGTTTCGAACGGTGCTGTCAGAGGACTTGCTTCGAGTGAGGCTCGATCATCAGCTGCACCAGACTCACTCAGACATTCACTCAACTCGGCAACGGTGTTGCAAAACTCAATCCATTTAAGGTCTGTTCCCTTCCCGTGCTTGTTTAGCGTTCTCTGCAGGCGGGCGGCGAGCACTCGTCTGTAAAGCGTTGTTGGCTCAAACTGGAAACTGGGAGGGCATGCGAACATGTCAGTGTCAACAGCATCCCTGGGCTCGTCCAGCCTCCATGGTAGAGGATCGTGTTTCCGTTGGTTGTGCCACGTGCTTGCCCTGAAGCACATCACCAACCAACAGGACTGCTGTAATGCTGGAGGGACGAGGGCAAGATTGAACGCATCAAACTGCTCATGGCAAGCATTTGCAGCACCTTTGTAGAGGAGAATGGCGTTCCTCCTTGAGAGCAAGGTGAACGATTCTCTGAATTTTCCTCTGCCAGACACTGGCCAATCAAACAGTTGTTGATGATCTTTGTTCGCCACGTGTGCAACAGTCAAGCGAATCCCTCCTTGCTCTTGCCTGCCGCAAAAAGCACACCGATTCCCATAGATGTTATGTATCGCTTCTTTCTGGTTTGATCTGAACCGCTTCGAAGCATCGCCAGGATCAGACGTGAATGCTTGCAAACGTGGATTGACAATAGATGTCTTGAGCAACGCAACCTCTGTTTCCATTCTGGCAGCCCTCTCGTCTGCTTTGGTAGCCCTCTCGTCTGCTTTGGTAGCCCTCTCGTCTGCTTTGGTAGCCCTCTCGTCTGCTTTGGTAGCCCTCTCGCCTGCTTTGGCAACCTCTGTTTCCATTCTGGCAGCCGTCTCGCGTGCTTCGGCAACTGCAGCTTCCAACGCATCAAGCTGTTCTCGGAGCCTTCGGGTGCGAGCCATGACGCGGAGCCCTAAACTGGAGAAATCTAGCGGCACATGTTTCACAAGAACGTGCATGCTTCGTCTCGCAGCCTCCTTTGCGGGCTGTATGCATGCGTGCATGTGTGTGTGTGTGCGCCAGTTCAAACATGGCTGAAGGCTTCTGTCTATGTTTGAAGGAGAAGAAGGGCAGCACGGCACAATCCAATCGATTCTCACGCTGATACACAACAAACGACCAACCCGAAACCACAACAGCCCCAAGCCCGAACCCACCCAAATATATTTTCTCCCGAGCCTTGCCCACTTCGGGGAGTTACATCACCTGATAAATAGGATGAGGTAAAATAATGAGCTAGTAGTTGTGATTTGTATGGTATATTAGGATAAATTCTATATGGTAATGGAGATTATGATAGAATGGCTACTATTTGGGCCACGGTGATGTAACTACCCAAACTGGGCAAGGTCTTCACTGACTCAGGGCAGTCCTAGTGGCCGTCCTCGAGGCGCTGAGCACACTCAGCGCTTGCTGTATCTTCTGCTCCGTCTGGGAGTCCAGAGCCGAGGTGGCTTCATCCAGCACCTCATCTGCCAAAGAAAGCCCCTTGTTTTTCTTCTGCGGCTTATCGAGGCAGCACACCAAATGTCCCAAACGTGACATTGATGTTTAACGTCTACCCGCTCCTGAAGGCCTCCTGCCTCCTGCTTCATCAAATAGGAGAGCCCCTGAAAACGGTTGCTTGCGAAACCTGCCCAAACACTGAACTTAGACAGCCTCCTTGCTGTGCCCAGAGTCCAGAGCCACTCGATTTTTCTGTTACAGAATTCACAAATTGCAACTCGGCCAGACTGCATGCCGAGAAAGACGCATCAGAATGGACGGAGATTCCCCTTTTATCGACTCGACATGAAGAGCCATTGACGTGAGGCCAAGTAGCGACAATCGGCGGGTCTTTCACCAAACAACGGGCAATGGCCAACCTTTTTCTCACTGGATGTGTGCTTCCGAGTTCGGAATCCTGAATTTCAACATCACTAAACATGCCGTAACACATCTTTTCACTCCTAGCAGGCCGGCAGCTCAGCAGTACTGATCCAAAGAACTGTAGAAAGAAACATCCCGGCCTCTGCTTCTCACCTCCACTGAGTTTGAGGCCCCTCTCGCCCACGAGTGTTTCCTGACAAACGGGCCGGTAGCAAAGAGAGGGTACTGTCACAAGACGCACACATCGTTCCAGATATTGGCCTCGAAGTACCTCTCGGACAACGAGGCCCCGGTGCCCACTGCATGCCAAGTTTCGTAGCCTTGGGCCTGTTGGTCGATAAAACCATCCAGCTGTGCGCTCTTGGCAGCCTTCTCGATGTCTGCCGTAGTGGCCTGCAAGGCCAGGCACTCTCCAGCACTTGCGGAATAGCATTGTGGGCAAGCTGAGGACACCCGGCTTTGTGAGAGAATCGCAGGGAGTAGGGCTGAGCAGCACAGGAGCAGACCCACTTGGCCCTTGAGACATCTGCGGCCTCATGGATGTTGCCGTATCGCAGGTTGTGCGAAATCGTGGAGTTGAACAGCACGACATCCTGCGGTTCGCAGGCAAAACCATCCAGCAAATGCAACTCGTCGGCAGATCTCAATTACTCCAACTCCCTTGGTCTGGCTCCTGCGGGACCATGCCGATGGCCGCCCTCAAAGAACGCTGCGTAACCCTCCGCACGTCCTGGCCATTCACGGCGACCTGACCTGTCGCGACAGACTGTATTTATATAGTGTAGTGCTATGAAATAAAATTGTATGATCTCAAATATAAAGATTCGCTTCCAAGTTCGATGCAAGTTGAGTTCCTCCCCATCGTCCCACTGCGGGTCGGAGTGGCCTGACACTACGTCGTAGAACCGGAAGAGGAGCCGCGTGATCGTTGTCTTGCCCGCACCAGTGGCCCCCACCAGGGCCAAGGAACCACCACGAGGAATCTCGAAGCTGATATCCTGCGCACTGGAAGAGGCTATTGACTGCAAGAAAAGCTGTTGGGTTCTACCAGTATCTAGGACGTGGGATGCAACAATCAGCTCTGAAAGTCAAGCCTCAGGAGGCCAAGTACAAAAAGACTGTGCGGAAACCCCAAAAAACTCCTTCCAAACCGAAAGCCGAAAGCCTGCTCTACAGGACTGTCTAAGTCCCCGAAGCACCAAAGGCCCAAGCCCTGGCCCTGACGCCGCATGGACTCAAACAAGGCAATCCCCTCCTCTGAAAGTTAGCTTCCCAATTCCGAATCGAATGAGTTACGCACCGCTCGTAGAAAGTCCTTTATGGCTCGGCCCAGAGGCTGCCTTGCTGAGATCTTCCGGCTCACTCTTTGCGCAGTGTCTGTGTGTCTTTTTTCTCTCGCTTTCCCTGTGTTTCTGCAGTGTCTGTGCCACGTTTGGTTGCTACAGCAGCTGGTACTGTTTTGTTCCCCCGACTGCGGGCCCTCGCCCTGATTTAAAAAAAATGTCCATGCATTAGAGACGTGTAGTACCCAGTACCTTCTCGTGCACGTATGTACTTACACCACAACATGTACAAATACGTGTATGTACATATACATATACATATATATACATATATATATACATATATATATATATACACGCCATACATACATACGTACATACATACATACATACATACATACATACATACATACGTGCATGCATCCATGCATGCATACATATGTATGTATGTATGTTATATATATATATGCGTGTGTATGTATGTATG